CCGGCCCCCCAGCCAATCACGGCTTCGGGTGGCTCTCAGCGCGACACCGCGTGGACTTCTGGGAAGTGTAGTCCTGGAGTCGCGGCAGGAAGGCTGGAAACCCGCCTAGAGAACTACACGTATCCCAGGGCCTGCTTGGGCCCGCTGACGTCATCAGGGTGCGCGAGGCTCAGGAGCGGGAGGGCTGAGAGTCCGAGAGCTTTCTGCCAGTGGCCCCGCTCCGGGTGCAAACTATAGCTCCTCGGAGAACGAGGTTGGGTCTTCCGGCTTTACCCCCCCGCTCTGGAAAATCTACTGAGCGAGGAGGAGATACCGAGTTTACCGGGCAGCCCGGCCGGCTTAGTCAACCCGGAGTCCGACTACACTTCCCGGCGTGCACCACGCAGGAATGGGTCGAAACAATGGCGAGGCGGGAGGGAGAAGAAGGAGGAAGAGTGAGGCGGCGGGGTTGAGAAGGCCCGGAGTGCGGAGTGTCACTGAGATGACGCGCACAGGATTCTTTCACGAAACCTGAAGCTAAGAGGGCTGGGCCAAACTTTTGGAAGGTACCAGACGTCGTTCCTTACCAGTGGAGTTCCCCACCCCGAAGTTATGTTTCCAAGGAAGCCCTGTAAGTTTAGTGGGAAGGACCTTGAGGTGTAACGGCCCATTAGCTTGAGTTTAGCTTTACAGTCAGTTACCGTGTACCCTTGCCTGTTACCTTCCTTTGAATCTCACGTTTAAAATCTCTCAGACTTCACATTACCGACACATTGCCTACAAATGGCTAATGTGTAGCCTCAAATACAAGCCTTGCCTTTTAGGGTCCTCGTTGCTGCTCTAGGCTCCTGCCAGTGGAGCTTCCACCAGTGTCACTGCAGGGATGCACAGGAAGCTTTTACTTCCGCTGAGCCCATCCTCCAAATCTGGCACTTTTCCACCCAAGGTCACATGACTAAAACTGAGCTCCTTGTGGGCCAGCCAGCGGTACAGTGCTTAAGGCCCCTGGATCTGACGGCTGACTGAGCGATCACGTCAGGAACTTGACAACATGCTAGGCATGTGTGTGTGTATGCCCAAAATTTCACAGAAGCTGCCATGGCTATCACCCTGCGGGGGTGCTTTCTCACTTTCTCCCCACCCACCCTGCAAGTGCCTGCTTCCTACTGCAAAAAAAAAATTTTTTTTTTTAATTTACCCCTACAAGGGGAATGGCCACACTGCAGTTCTTTCTCCTCCATTCTCCTCTCTGGATTTTGGGCACGCAAGCATACATCCTAGTGTCATTTTTCAAACCGCTGGGTCTAGGACTTGAACCATGATAGGCCCTGTGGGAGCCTGGTGTCTGAACTAACAAAGCACATGCTGGCCTCAATACTAATAAATAAATAAATTTTTAAAACAATTATTTATTTTTTTAAAAAATTTATTCATTTATTTTAATTTGACGAGAGAGAGAGAGAGAGAGAAAGTGAGAAAGCAAGCCACCTGGTCTGGGACTTGAACTGTGGTTATCCATGTGAGAGTGTCCAGCGCCTTAACCACCACGCCACCTGCTGGCCCCTTGAAATTTAAATTTTTAAAATTTTATTTTATATTTTTATTTTTTCTTTTAGAGAGGTTTTTGCAATAGGGCGCGTGTGCTCGCCAGACAGACAGAGAGAGACAGAGACAGAAAGTGAGAAATCACCCCCCAGGGGGGATGGCCACACCACAATCCCTTCTCCTCCATTCTCCTCTTGGGATCTTGGGCATGCACGCACAGGTGCCCGGTGTGAGTTTTAAGCCACTGGGTCCGGGATGCGAACCACAGTTGACTACATGGAAGTCCAGTGACATAGCCATTACACTAACTGCTGGTCCCAAATTTAAATTTTTAAAAAGAGCTTATTCTGGGACCAACAGATAGTGTAATGGTCACATCACTGGACTCCCCTGTGGTCGACTACTGTTTGAGTCCCGGACCTGGCAGCTGGGGGTGATTTTTTGCTTTTTCTCTGTTTGTCTGTCTCTCCAGCAAGCACATGTGCCCTATAGCAAAAATCTCTTCAAAAAAAAAAAAAGAGCTCATTCCTCCACATATAGTAGAACTAGTTTTCCTCTCAAACGTGATGTGCCGATGGAATCTACCTACTTGTATTCAGAGTTAAGCCACGCTATTTCCCATGCATTTTCTTTGAACATCCACCACCACCACCAGCACCAATTAAGTGTCTAGGTGAAGCTCGGAGATGGGTGCTGGTGTTGCAGTGGCAACACATCACTTCCTGACCTCAGGACCTCATAATGAAGAAGACATTTTTGAAAAATAGACAAATCATGAAGCCAGCAGATGGCACAGAGGTAAGGTGGCTGGATGCCACATGGCTCACTGCATGGTTCAGGTCCCTGACCAGCAGCTTGAAAATCATGCTGGGCGTGTATGTGCACATGCATGCCCAAATCCCCAGAGGACAATGGAGAAGGGATTGTGGTGTGGCCATCCCCACTGGGGGGTGATTTCTCACTCTCACTCTCCCTCTCCCTCTCCCTCTCCCTCTCTTTGGTAAGCCATAGGCTATACAGGAAATTAAGAGAGAGACATAGGGAGGGAGGGAGGAAGAAAAGGAAAAGGAAGGAAGGAGAGGAGGAAGAGAGGAAGGTAGGAAGGAAAGAAAAAAGAAAGGTCAACAAGTTATGGCATTCAGGTGATGAGTGCCCTAAAAGAAGTGACCTCCATGTGCTGCTAGACTTCCTAGGTGGGGACCTCATTTGGCATAACCTTATTAAGACCATGAACTCTGCAGACAGACTGCCTGTATTCAAACCCTAGCTCTGCAGTCAGGGTGTTACTGTGGGCAAAGCATATACTCTCTCCATAGAGTGGGAATTGTGATGGTACTTCATATGGTTAATGGAGAAGTTAAGGAGATTAAATTTTGCCAGTTAACTAATTAGGGAGAGTGAGAAATCACCCTCCAGAGGGAATGGCCACACCACAGTCCCTTCTCCATTGTCCTCTGGGGATTTGGGCATGCATGTGCACACACACGCCCATTGAACCCTGCTAAGATTTCTTCCTTGCTTTTCTTGCTGCTTGCAGAATTCTTGCCTGAGTATACACTAGTTATTTAATAAAACACGTTTAACAACTATTTAGCATTTACTGCGGGGGAGAAAGATTGTTTTATTTATTTATTTATTTATTTTTGAGAGCTTTTTTTGTTGATTTGTTTTGTTTTTTTTTTTTTTGAGAGGTTTTTGCTATAGGGCATTTACGCGCGCCAGAAAGAGAGACAGAAAGCGAGAAATCACCCACCGGGGGGATGGCCACGCCGCAGTCCCTTCTCTTCCATTCTCTCAAGATCTTGGGCATGCACGCACATGCGCCTAATGTGAGTTTAAGCCACTGGGTCTGGGACTCAAACCACAGTCAACTATATGGGAGTCCAGCGACATAGCCATTATGCCATCTGCTGGTCCCTGTTGTTTTAGATTTTTTAAAAAAGAATACAGACTATAGTTAAGTGACTGCAAAGCCCTTCTATATGAAGCAAAGGAGTTATATATGGTTGTATATAAAAATCACTCATCCCATGGGAGCCAGCAGGTGATATAGTGGTTAAGGTGCTGGACTCCCATACGGCTGACCGCAGTTTGAGTCCTGGACCCAGAGGTGTGAAATTCAAATGCCTGTGCATGTGTGCATGTGTGCATGCCTTCAATCCCAAGAGGAGACTGGAGGAGGAGGGATTGCTGCATGGCCATCTGCCCTGCAGGGTGATTTCTCACTTTCTCTGTCTGTCCGTCCTGCACGCGCATCCATCCTGTAACAAAAAGGAAAAAAAAAATCACTCATTCCTTGGGACCATCAGGTGACATGGTGGGTAAGGTGCTGGATTCCCACATGGTTGACTGCAGTTCCAAGTCCCACACCTTGGTGACTTGAAAATCACCGTAGGCACGTGTGTGTACATACCTAAAATCCCAGGAGAGAAATGGAGAAGGGATTGTAGCATGGCCATCCCCCTGAGGGTGATTTCTTACTTTCCCTCACTGTCTTTCTCTGGCAATCATATGCCAAAAAAAAATTACTCACCTAAGCACCTGAGTCTCCTGGGAGCATTGTCTACGATATGATTCTTTCCCAGCCCAATTTAAAATGTGTGGCTACAGACAGGTCATAGAAAACAGCATCATTTACTATGCTCTTTTATTTATGCCGTCACATTTAATCTTCCCAACAAACTCTGAGGTGGGCATTATTACCACTTTACAGATTAGGAAACTAAGGCACAGAGCAGGTAGTAAAACAGCACTGTTGGGGACCAGCAGTTGGTGTAATGGCTATGTTGCTAGACTCCTATGTAGTTGACCATGGATCGACGACCGGACCCGGTGGCTTAAATCACACCAGGCGCGTGTGCGTGCATGCCAAAGATTCCGAGAGGAGAATGAAGGAGAAGGGATTGCGGTGTGGCCATTCCCCCCTAAAGGGCGATTTCTCACTTTCTGGCTCTCTCTCTTTCTGGTGAGCGTATGTGCCCTATAGCAAAAACCTCTCAAAAAAAAAAAAGTAAAACAACACTGTTTAGTAGGAAAGCACCAGGATTTGAGGCTGGAACATTCTGGCTCCAGAACTTCAGTAAGATGTCTCAGGCTGCCAAAGGAAAGATTATCCCATTGTTTCTCTTAAGTCCATCTGCAAACATTCGATCACAGCCATAATTTCCTGAGTTAACAGTAGCTGGTCAGAGTCTCCCGCAGCATAGCACAAATGGCTTAGAAAACCTGTGGGCCATTAGGAAGTTCTGTA